TTAGGGCTCACATTCCCCGGCTTTCGCGTTTAGCGGTATCGGGTTGCGGGCAGCGACCGCCAACACTAAAACCTCAAACCAACAAATGCGCAGCCCTCCACACGCACGCTTCTCGGCGCTACTGATAAGCCCTCTATACTGCCCTGGCCTCGACCCGGTGGAATGGCAAAGCTCTAAACCCTGGCAAGTCCTGAAGACCTACTCTAACGAATAGTGAGTATTCTCTCTGGGATAATGAGTACGAAATCTGACTTACTTACAAGCCACCTCACAACTACCGTTCCTTTTCATGCCCTACACCTCCCTCTACAGACCGAAAGCTCCTCCGGAATCCCCAAACCCTAAGACCTCAACCTATAGTCCCCCTTAAGTAGATTATAGAATATGGGGCACATGGGGATCTTATTCTAATATACCGAAAGCCATATTCTATCTACTTAAGGGGGACTCTAAACCCTGGAAACCTAAACCCTCAAGATAGAGTCCCCATCCCTCGCGCCTCTGGGCGCGGCGAGGGCTCCCAGAAGCGCCACGCCGCGGTAAATGCGGTGTGAGCGCATGGGTTGGGAAGGGATATTGGGCTGAAAGAGTTGGAGTAGGATAAGAGATAGGTTCATTTCATTTTGATTCCTCACCAGCTGAGATCCGAGATCGGGGATCTGGGAAGGGAGAGGTGAAGGCTTACAATTTAGGAAGCTGGGCTTACGAGCTTCTGCTTCAGAGTTCAGGCTTGAGGTGTAGGACCAAATGTACAGTAGCCTAAACTCTTTAAAGGGGGGTAGATGGGCGATTATACAGGGGAGTATCATAGGGGTGATTAAGGGGGATACTAGGAGTTTAGACCATAACTCAAATCAGTATGCATAGATTCACGCACTCCTTTGGGGTTCAGGGTCTGACGTTTGCTCGGGTCTAGCTCTGAGACCTAAGGCGTTGCAAAGCTGAAAAACTAACCTTCCCATTTCCTTTTGGCATGAATTTGGGCCTAACCTACCTTCTGCTAGGTAATACTGTTGTCGCAAAACGTCACGTGCATTCTCCTCTAGGGCGTGTACAGCTCTTGCATCTTGCCTGACTCGGACTTTCCTAGGCAAGCCAATCTGTGAGGCTGAGCGATGTAGAGTCTCCTGACGTAGCAATAACAGTAAAAATCGTAGTAACTGTAATGATCGTGGCAGTCGCGGAATGTCTTTGGAGGGAAATACCCCAGGAAGTACCCCAGGAAGTACCGTGCTTCGGGAGCCTTAGATGAATCTGTTCCATCCGCCGTTGGCAGGAAAAGGCATCATGCTAAATGCAAGAGATTAAAACCACGGAAGTCAACCTTGCACAGGTAGGCACAACAATCCCGTAATTATCCAAAGAATGACTCCACAAACTATTGCCGTATGTCCGGCTGCAGTTGGAAATTGCACGTTTATCGCTATTTAGCCACGTCCCAAGAACGTCCCAGAACGCGTTCAAAAAGTCGAGCAACAGCAAAACCCGGAATCCCATGATCTCCATAAATTTTACCATGAAGCTCTGCTTAAATCCTAGAAACTCATGCAGAAAACGGCACCATAGTGCTGTAATGATTCTAAATTTTGAAAAAGAAAAACAGTAGCTTTGCAGGCACATACCATCCGTGGGAGGGCGCGGGGGCGGACTGCGTAAGGGAGACTTTCAAGAACTTTCCGTCGACGCCTGAGCGCATGCAGATGGCACAGAAGTCCTTCAGACTTGCTGTAAGCAATAAACAGGGATTGTAAGGCATGCACTGTCATGGAAATCTGTCATTACAGGGTCTAGAGGAATCACTAAACAAAATCATCCTTGTCGCTAAATGTTCTAAAGTACCAGAATTCTTGTGCGACAAGGTGATGGGAAAATAGTCTCAAGCATATTTGCTATCTTGCATGCCTTCGAACGTGGCTACTTTCCGTTTGCAATTTTGTTGACTGATTCATTTATTCGCTTCATTTGTTGATTTACTGCCCTCGTTTGATTTCTTTTCTTGGGCAGAGAAATACTAATCATGCGCATACACAAAGTAAAAATGTACCGGGCCTTCGATTCTAAGGGTGAAGGGGTCACACAGCTCCGGTTAAAACGCTGGATAGAACTACCCGCAGCTCTAAGTAACGGACATCAGGGGTCCGTATATGACTTTGTATGAGACGATGAGGGCCAGGATGAAATTCTAGCGCTAGAGAAACCGTGGGCTAACGGTAACAGATCTAAATAGAGAAAAAGTCTCAACATTAGGGATCCCTATCAGGCTGCTTAAAGGCATCATCCTGATCTTCGAGGGCCTCTTTCACTTAGGTCCCTGTCGACCCTTGTGCGAACTCTTCTAGTGCCTGTAAACTGCACGGATAAGGAGCATCCTGTCTTCAAAGGTAACCACTAGCACAGCAATTGTCAAAGACATTGGCGTCTTAGAGCTACAGGTGTTCTGATGTTAGCAGTTGTCGTCAAAATCGGCTAGAACTTTTGAAAATACTTACATCTTTTGTGAGCAGACTTTGGTAGCTCATAGCGCTACAACGCTCGAAAAGTCAGAATGCCCGACATCCCAGTCGCCTAGGGCCTAGTTACTTCATGCGAATGATGTAAGTCTCATACAGTTTGGCGCACCGTGTACTTCAGCCATTCACTGGCAGCAATCTCATTTGACTTTTCGGTGAAGCCCCGATAAGCTTTCAGCACAACAAGGCCCTGAATCAGCCCAATGAACAAACGTCAAACACCCCAAGAAGATGGTGTGCATTCAACCTTGTATGGGCTTTCCCATAATTAAGGTACCGTTTTGGGGGTCCCCATAATAAGAATCATGATATGTTGGGGTCTATAGTGGGGTTCCCCTATTTTGGGAAACTACCATATCAGCTGCAGAAGAGTCTCCAATCCTGGCCCAGGGCCAACCGGCCAGCTAGAAACAAACAGATCACAACCCGGGAAATTCTGGACCTCAACGCGACCCAAACCCTAAACCCTAAATAGTAGTTTCCGTTTTCTGTTCCATTCTCCCTAGAAAACCCCAATATAACCATGACCTCCATCCCCGTACTCCAAGCCCCGGTCTCTCAACCTAATCCTGAAGCCTCAACACCCTGGGTGCCATGTATATATGTATATATATATATTCTATATGTATATCTTATACAGATATATAGATATACATATATATATGTATATTTGCACATACATATATACATATATATATATACCTCCAACTTTATGCCCTGACGGTGGGGAGCCCCAAAAAGTGGCCCATCAACAAGACGCCATGGTTGTAGCCATGGTTCCGAAGCCATTCATCATGTTCGATGCCTTGCGGGCAAAATTACTGGCCATTTTGTAAGCATTTCAGAAGCTGAATCTGGCTGGTGCGGGACTGTCATATATATATATATGTATGTATATATTTGGGCGGTATAATTACCCATCTATGTATACCAGCATTTGGGGAGAGGTAGTAATACGTTGCGCGGAGAAGTTTCAGCACTTGCTTCAGATCTGAAGGTTTTGCGGTCTAAGGCCAAATGGTCTAGCCCGACAGTTAGGGTGACATTGCGGGTCTTAAGAGCGGAACTGGAGCTTAGATTGGAGGTGGCTAATGACTAGGCTTTCAAGTCGGCAAAAGCAAATCATGCTTCCAAACTGAGTTTGCACCTTCATGAGGTGCTGGGATGAAATCATTGCTTCTATGTCCAGATGCTGCCACTACAGGGGACTACCAGACTCATGGCAAGCCTAAAGAGGTACTCCGGAGTAACCCTTCTCTGTACCACTGAAGACAACAATCTTTCCGGAAGGAGTTCAGCAGCCACCCACACGACGAGACTATACGTCCACTTGAAACCTGGAGCGCGGTGTGGTTTAAATTCACCTCATGAACTGCTCAACTACCGGCTTCAAACACATGATTTTTTGGGGAAAACATGAAGCAGAGATCCGATGCCTGTTCTGCGGCCTGCGAGGAGGCGTACCTGCCGTCAGGATCCGCGATTCTGCAGGTAGGCCTTCTCATACGTGGACGGAGGTGCAGGTTTGTTGCTGAAACTTAAACGGTGTGCATGCTGACAAAATGTATCCAAAATGTAGAGAGACACACATTCAGAGCCACGGGGTCAGTGTCAGACGGGCCGAGAGGCTGTTTTCCTGCCTTACCATGTTTCACGATTTTTGAAGACAACTCCTAGCCCGCCCGAATGAAGACAACAACCTTGAGGTATCCCGGTCTGTCACCAGCGGAACTGATAAAGGACTTTGCGCCAGGAAGTTTGTGTGGAATTGATGTGGTTCCCCCTGATGTACATTCTAAACCTTTTGCAGCCGGTCATTGAAGGAAGGTCACGATGTGCCGTACCAAGCCTCCACCCCTTCTCCACAAGCCTAGACCCTATATCCTAAGACCTACCAGCAACTTGGCACGGCAATGCGCACGTCACGAAGCCGCAGCTGCGCGAGAAGCCGTTGGCATCGCGCTGCACGTGAGCCGCCGTTACCTGCACCAGGTGCTGGGCGGCTGCATTCCGGAAATGTGAGATTCAAAGCATGAAGGTCCAGGATGCCGGGCTTCCAGTTTTCTGGTCTGGGGTTCGGATGACCTGCCTTTGGTCAACTTCTACGTGGAGCTCCAGGCTTTGCATCGCGTTGGTCCCGGGAAGCCAAGCCAGCAACTTGTTGGTCTGGAGGCATTGGGAGCTTTGAACAAATGCGTCATGCCAGCCTAGTTGCACGTGACCCTATTGCTGAAATGCATCTAGGGCCTGAATAATGCGTTGATGAGCACGTAGGTAAAAAGAATCTTAGACCAGGTGAACTCAGCAGCATCTCTGGATCTGAAGCTGTTGCACAGATCAAACCTCACAACGTCCCTGAAACCTCTCCCCTCAAAGCCTCAACTCCCAAAATGGGGCACCCCCCTAATCCTTGTCACAGAGGCCCCAAAACACACCCCCAACTGTTGGAAACCTCACGTACAAGTTGTCAGCATCCGTCCCCTCCCTTGCCTGGCCGAAAGGCGCAAAGAGCTGCATCAAGTCGGACTGGCCGTCAGCTCAGGCTCTCAGGACCAAGGGCTCTGGGATTCCCTTGTCCAAACCAGCATGCAGGCCGTGTAACACCCTTTTTGTGAAAGGGTACTAGTCCTCGTAGGCCCCCTTTTTTTGTTGTCCATGTTAGTTTGCGGCGGGTAGCGTCCCCTAGTTGAGAGCCTTTTAAGTTGACCTCTGTAGTACAGCACCAAGTTCCATGGAGAACTAGTGTCATGTGGGCCATAGTCTAAACTCCTAGTATCCCGCTTACCACCCCCTATAGTACCCCCGTATCTAATCCCCTATATAACCCCTGTAAGGAGTTTAGACTAGAGCTCATGAGGTTCTGCGGGGTGTTGGTCTGCAGGTTGGGGATCCTGTACCCGCCTCTTAGGCTCTGGAGATATTCATTGTTCAAAGGCTCTGGTCCACACTGAAGCTGCGCCATCGAGATGTAAGTCTCATGTATCCCAAAACCTTCCACATCCCCTAAACCTACGCTTGCCCGTATAGTAGTTTCCATGGATCCATTCCCGTGCAAATTCTACAAACCTTGTATACCATAGATACCCTATAAGCTCCTGTACAACCCTATTTAAGCCTATATACCGTATTATATACCATTTATGCCCTTTCAAACTCACGTATGAGCCTAAATAATCCTATCTATATACTATATGACCTTTCATCATCCAAAATCTTGAACCTTGAACCCTTTTGATATATAAACCTTGAACCTAAAACCCTAGTAACAAACCCTGAACCCCTGAAGAATTCCAACCTCGCTCCACTCCGGCGGCATGTGGAAGATATAGCAAGCAGCCTTGGCAACGTCTTTTTCTTTGTCCGTGGGGTTTGAGTTGTTATATTGGGTTATATTGGGATAATGGAAAAGAAAATGGAAACTCTAGGTCCCTTTTAAAGGGATGTACAAGGTTATATAGGGGTTGTTTTTGCAAATCCATCCTCCAATTTAGGGGATGTACCCATACGATTCTAAATCTAGGGATTACGGCTTAGGGGGGTTACATACAATACACTTGTGCTCTTTGGGGGTAGGTAAGGCAGGCCACTACTTTGAATATTGATGCATCAACGCGAGCTTCAACCAGCAACGGCTGGGTGGCCTGGAATTAAACATGCAAAAAATGGTAAACGTCATTGATGCAACGGCGAGTGTTAACACCGAGACGGGCTAAACCGGGCGTGAGCACACGCAGGCTAAACTTTGATTGTTTCACCGTTAGGCCGTGCTTGTCCCGCCGCACATCAGTAACTCTATACACGCCCGTCCCCTAGAGAGAGCCATTATTTGTTCCTGCAAGACCTAGAGGGCTACGAGATCGATATGCTACAGCTTTGCACTTTGGAAGCACCGTCCAGCACGGAACCCACTGAAAGTCTCAGTGAATCCGCTCTTATTCCTTGTTACACTGTTAGACCACGATGCACACGCGCGCAAGCTTCAGACCAGCCGTGTCCCAAATTTTCCAACGAAAGATGGAAACCTGGTGTAAAAATCCTCTTATTACCTACTGCTAGCCCCTAGATAATCCCAATTTGCACGCAGTTCCCATCTGTTGTCCATCTGATTCTCCACTAGTGGGCCCTGTCTCCCTGATAAGTAGGGGTTGCCGCCATTAGAATCCTCCCATTAGTAAACCCCAAACCCTTGACCCTACAGTTGCCAATTCATTGCCCATCTTCCGCTATTGGGAATAATTTTCATATAAAATCCCCATACATCCTCCCCATATCATCCCTTCCATGACCCCCCTATGTCCTACAACCCTCTTCTTAGCAGAGACCCTAAACCCTAAATCCTAAACCCTAAACTCATAGACCCTAAGCCCTTTACCCAAAGACCCTAAACCCTAAACCTATAGACCCTGAACCCACAGGCCCTAAACCTTAAACCCTAAATGCTAAACCCTAAACCCTAAATCCTAAACCCTAAATCCTAAAGCCTAAACTCTAAATCCTAAACCCTAAACCCTAAACCCGAAACAGAAAGGCCCCCCACTTCGCCCGGAGCCGGAGTCATCTCGCCTGCTCGCCGCGAGGGCCTGGGCTAAATCTGGGTGAAGGAGCTTCAAGTCAAGTTACTGCAGTATGGGGTTTAGGGTTTAGGATTCAAGGCTTAGGGTTTAGGATTGAGGATTTAGTGTTTTGGATTTAAAGTTTTTAGGGTTTAGGGATTGGCTTTAGGGTTCCGGATTTAGGGATTTGGTCTAGGGTTGCCAGCATGGAAGGGGACATCTAGTGGAAATGATGCGGAAGCCAAGGTTATTCAGGGGTGTATATGAGGATTTGCATCAGCAACCCACAGTCAGTTTCCAGGAGAGTGATGCACAGTTCGCGCTATGGTAGCTTAATTTTTCAATTCCTGTACAGCTACTGCGGAATATGCCGGAACATGTGGCCTCACACAGGCTGTGGAGCTATGGCTTTTAGATTTCGGGTCTGGAGCTTATGGTTTCCGGGGGGGGGGTTCAAGATCGTTGGTAAAGGCTGCGATCTTGTAGTTTTAGGTGTGGGGTTTAGGGTTTGGGGTTTCATCTTGGGGGTAATTGAGTACTGGCCCCCTTTGAAATGCGCAAGCACTCTCAAATATACGCAAGGGTATGGAAGAAGATAGGAATAACCAAAGCTGCTGTAAACAGGCCAAACTGTAGTTGTCTCACAGCCAAACCGGACAGATTGAACAAGACAGACTCAACGCCTGAACTGGAATCCCTAGATTCCAAACCCAGAAGGCAGCACAAAATACATGTGGGTGGTTGTCAAAATTATGGTCCTTTTGAGTACCCTAAATATTAGGTGCTGTATGATAATAGGGATCCAAACAGGGACCATAATTTTGACAACCACCCATGTGCAACTCTCTCGGCCGCTTGCTGGCAGTCGAAGTTGCCGGGCTTAGACCAAATGATCTGCCAGTGCGCAGAGTTGCTTTGGAGCTTTGATTGACATGTCAGGGTTCTGCTCTACGCGACCGACTACTAAATCAAGCTTGTGAATATAAGCCACTTGCCCCATATTGGGGTAGTATTGGGCTATATTGGGATAATGGAAAATAAAGTGGAAACTACTACAGTATAATAGGGTTTATAATGGGGGTATATAGGGGATACAGTCCGCTCATGGCACAGAGGCCCTCTTATGGTGCAGAGCTTACTCCCTGGCAATAACGACAGGATCTATGCAAGGTTTAGGCCTCCAGATTTTCTTGGCGCAACAAGCTTCCAAGCCATTGGAAGCATGCGATCTCAACTGTTCTAGGCCCTTCGATCCTGAAGAAAATACAGCAAAATCCAGAATCATGAGTCTTCCATCAAGGCAGGCATTATCTTCAGGTATGGTCGTACGCAGCGCGGCCGACACAAAATCCTCTGACCCTCACACCCCAGAAGTCGTGATCCTACCCTCAGCATGATACACCAGCCACTTTAAGGTTTGAGGCTTACGGTGAGCTTCATGCATCACAGGAGGTTCAAAACACTACAGCCAACACAACCTACAATGAAGATACAATAAATGCAGGCACGCAGTGGCGAGCCTCACCCGTGAGCACATTCTTGTAGAATGTCTCACCGGCCGGACTTAGATACCTGAGACTGGCAGGTCACGCACAGACGGAGGATTTGGATAGTCCGCCTTGAGTGGGAAGAATAAGCGCATGTCCAACCCCAGCCTCTATGGAGGGCGGCTTGGTGTAACAACGTCTTGGCAATTCTACAATCTACTACATACGCCATGATTTCATGGCGATTATGCAACGTTGTTGCAAGATCGGCGAGCACGGTTCAACATTATTCTCCGCATCTACGTTCAATGAACAGATACACAGGCCAGTGATCATCATGGTTCTAAAATAGCCAAGAATGGGCACTCTCCGATAGCGGGAACTGACCCTTCACAGCCCAGAAACCTTGGTAAATGGAATGCTTTGTTAGGTGTACAGGACATTTTCACCAAATGCATAACCTGAACCTTACCATTAGGACTGAGGCGAAAAGCCACGTCGATGCCGGACGAGCTCTCACGCCCAGGGCCTTCTTTTCATATTAAAAGCACCAAGAGGCAGCCCTCAACTTTTCAACGCCTACGACTCCTACACATGCTCTCTCTCTTAACTTAGCTTGGGCACAAAGGCTTCGGAGATTCAGATTTGGGATCCCAAGGACGACTCCGCTCGCGAAGGGGTCATAGTGGGGATCAGGGCACATAGAAATAGAATAGAACTCAGCAAGACTAAGCTCGAAACTTCAACACCCAAATCCTAAACCACAAATCCTAAGCAACTTAACCGTACCTTCAAACCAATTCTCGGCGTAATCTTCGAAGCTAAGCCTGGGGCTGAGCAAAGTGGCCACGTACCGCCACCACGCGCGCCTGGCAGTGACTTGCTCGTTGATAGAAGGGACTGAAGGAGGGAAAAAGAAAATTGAAGCTACTATGGAATTACTTAGGGTTTGGGGAATGCCAAGGAAGTGGAAGCCGCTAGGTAGGGGTTGGGGAATGAGAAAGAAAGTGAAAGCACTAGCTACTAAACTTGAACCAAGACCATCATGTTTCGGTTCCGATTTATACAAACCAAATAGGCTAGCACGACCTTGAATGGATCTGAAGAAGCACCCTTGGCTTTGCGGATCCGGCCAAGCTGACCATAGACCTGTAAAGGAGCTACTGTGAAGGCTAACCACTGAAACATGCACGCCCATAAGCCCTATATGACCCCAGTTTCTATTTCATGTTCTTTGTTCTTTCCATTTGATACTCCATGATTCCCTTCAATCATTAGGTTGGCCCAAGACCCTAAACCGGAAACCCCAAAATCCATACAGTCCTAGCCCAAGAGCATCCCAATAATTTCAAATACCCCTTGCACTCGATAAGCAAAGCGGCATACCAGACTCTAATCATCAGACTACTCCCTACGAAATCCTTCAGAAAATCGAGTTATACGACTGGTGATACTTAAATTCCTGCACGACCTTTTGATACTACAATGCCACAATGCCCAAGGCATAAGGTATTTAGCGTCATGCAGGATTTCGAGTATCCACCGTATCCAATTCCTCAACTTGCACAACAGACGGTATTTCCCGATTCCAATCATCTGGGCTTGCGGCATACTAAAGACCAAAATGCAGGATATGAGGAGCTTTACATAACTAGGGGGTCGCAACCCTTATTCTGGGACGCCTACCTTTTTGAAACATCCCATATAAACTTTAGCTTGCAGGAAAGGAGCCCGCCTGTGGCAAGCCGTCCAGGGCTGCTTGCACAGGACTCTTTGAGAGGCTTCTTGAGCTTGAACTGGATGCTTGGGTGTTGGGCTTAGGGTTTGGGGTTTTGGGCTTGGGCTTTGGGTTTGGGGTTTTGCGGCTCAGGGTTTCGGAATTTGGGCCTCAGGTACAGGGTTTGGGTCCTACGGCTTAAGGCTTGGGGTTTAAGGCTGAATGTTGAGGTTTCAGGGTTGCTCCTTGTTGCTGAGGTCTGAAAGACTGGGTCATTGCAGTCATGATACGGCTTATGAAAGAGACGAGGGTGGCGGGTGGCAGCTTCGTATGCTCTCTTGCGGTTGGCATGAATGGTGGCATACTAAGCTGAGGCCGAATGTGTAGATGAACTGAGCTGAGTCATAACGCTAAATACAAACACTTGGCCACACATTTTAGCTATCCAAGGCCAGCAGAATGTGTCGTATTCTACGACCCTCTGCTTAGTAACTCGCTTACTATGAGCACCAAACTTCAAGTACGACGCCTAGCACGCTGGAAGCCCAGCAAAGACCACAAAGCCTATCTGCACACTGCGACATTCAAGCAAACATCTTTGAAGAGTCGAACAAGACTCAATTCCGAATAAACGCAATCGTGCATTCATAATCTCCCAAAACCTACGCCCCTCATATCTAACTCCCTGGGCCAGGTACCCTAACTGCCACAAAACTAGAAAAGATGTCTACAAAGCCCAACTCCCAAAATCCGGCACCTGCTCTTCCTCCTCTTCTTCTTATCCTTCTTCCTGATTCTCTCTCCGCGGTGCGTGGGAATGCTGCTGTTTAAGGCTTTGGGGGCTAACAGTTTAGGAGGTCTACGAGTTCGTGGATCCCCCCTCTAGGCATTGAGGGGTTTTAGGGTTTGGGAGTTTAGGGTTTTGGTGAGTTGCTTCGAGGACTTACAGGGCTTGAAAAAGCCTAGATAGCTGTGTGGTTTTCAACAGACAGAAGAAAGGGCATATGAGCGACGCTCTATCTTTTTCAGGATGGCTCTGTGCCAGGAAAATAGACATGTTTGAAGTTTCTGAAACAATTACTCTATCTCTCGAGATTCAAAGCCGGATGCGTTGTAGGTCCCTCCAAACCTTTGAGGATCATACTTTTTATGCTTCTTACTTACTGGGTCATAAAAGTGTAGGTGTAATAGTAGCAGCAGCAGTAGCAGTAGCAGTAGTAGTAGCAGCAGTAATATTAGTAGTTAATGGTGATAATCATATTACTGTGGCATCATGGGAGCTGACTTCCGGGTTAAAGGTCCAGGGTGTGGAGTCCTGCGTGGGATTCTTCGGATTCTTCGCAGCCCCCAACCTCCCAATCCAAAGCGTGCAAAGAACATCCCGTAGCATACGACATAAGCCCAAAAATCCATCAGTCTAAACCTCAACCCAAAAGCCAAACAGCAAGTCCTAGGAGGTGCTGATCTACTGAGAAAGCTCACCAGATTCCACAACTTCTCAGATACACAGTCAGGGCTGGCTTAGGGCACCATGAGGTGCAGAAGATCTGGAACAACTCCACAAATCCCACTGGTGAATTGCTTCTCGGGACCCAATAAATGCAGCCGGAGCTCTTGCGGGAGCGACTCCGCCTCACATCAAGATTTGGCTCCAATCACGGCTAGCACAAGGAAACGCAGGACAGAGTCGAGATAAGCGATGCCATGCGAGCATTATCAAAGCTTAGTCGAGTCTGGGGTGATAAATTATGCACGAACTCGTAGGTCTGGGAAACATTGTCCCGTGAAGTCGAACCTGGAGCTTCAGGCACTCATCTTGATCCAACTATAGACCCCCAGTTTCCACTTCATTTTCCATATTCTTTTCCATGTGGTTCTCCGTTCTTAGGGTAGCACACCTCTCTATATACTCCATATATCCCCATTCAACATCCCGCCTATAACCCCCATATTGCAGAAGCATCCCCCTATAAATCCTATGTTAGAGTAGCATCTTCCCAGGACCAGCATAATGGGATAGTATGCCCCTATAGCACCTACATTGGGGTGGTAGTATCCCCTCTAAACCCTACACCCCTAAGCCCGTAAACCCCTCAACCC